TGGGGTTTGGAAAACTTTTTCTGTGAAGAAGGAAAATAAAAGTGAGCTGGTAGAGAGGGCTTTTTGGGCTGATTCAATGTACTACCATCCTTCACTGCCGAATGTATAATTGATATTCATGTTGTACGTGCTTGTGTTGTGAATACTGACGTAATCCAGAAGGGGTTCTTCCATTCAAGGACTGTGGTATATAGAGAGGTTCTTACAGGTGGTCTAGCAAAAAGAAGACAAAATCTGAGAAGAAAAGGAAATCACAGCTTTTGTCAGACTTTGCTAGTGAAAAAAGTCAGAAAGGCAATTCCCTAGTACAACATTGCCACCTGCTGACTCGGGTACCAAGTGCACCTCTTTTAAAAAGCTGGGGTTTGGGGACTAGGAGATGCAACTATTGACCTGTTGCCTGACCTGTTGCGGAGCTCTTTTTCTTGAAAAAGAAACGGGAACCCTATTATACTGTTGGTGGGGATGCAAACTGGTGCAGCCGCTCTGGAAAACAGTGCGGAGGTTCCTCACAAAATTAAAAACAGAACTATCCAATGTTCCAGAGCACTGCTAGGAATTTACCCAAAGGATACAGGAGTGCTAATGCATAGGGGCTATGTTTATAGCAGCACTTTCAGCAATAGACAAATTACGGAAAGAGCCTAAATGTCCATCAGCTGACGAATGGATAAAGAATACTACTTGGCAACGAGAAAGAATGAAATCATGCCATTTGCAGCAACGTGTGTGGAACTGAAAGGTATTATGCTGAGTAAAATAACTCAGAGAAGGACAGATATATGTTTTCACTCATATGTGCATCTTGAGAAACTTAACAGAAGACCATGGGGGAGGGGAAGGTGAAAAATAGTTACAAATAGAGAGGGAGGGAGGCAAACCTTAAGAGGCTCTTAAGTACAGAGAACAAATTGAGGGTTGATGGGGGCATGGGGGAGAGGGGAAATGGGTGATGGGCATTGAGGAGGGCACTTGTGGGGTTGAGCAATGGGTGTTCTATGTAAACCCATTTGACAATAAATTATATTAAAAAAAAAAAAAGAAAAAAAAGGCCTGATCCATAAAGACTTGTGACTCTGCAGCCTGAGGTCCCCATTTTGGAGTGGGTTAACTCAGGCTTGACAACCAATAAGGAGAATGCCCAATATATCTCACTTTCCAAATGGGAAAGTTTTTCCTCACTTGGAAATTAGGTATTTAAGGACAAAGTAGCCTGGCCCTGGCAGCATCTCAGTTTATATAAGAAAAGTGGTAACTGTTGCTTACGGAAAACTATATTCATGTTATACCACCTGAAGTAAAGCCATTGGCTCAATGGAGTCCTCAGTTCACAGAGGTGCACCTTAATGCTGGGGCCTGGTTCCCTGATGGTCTGGCTAAGTTCAAGCCTGTTGGTGGGGAGGCTGTAGCTGTTCAACTGCTGCTTTGTATATGCATACTGAAAATTGGCATTGTTATTCACTCACTGCATAGAACTCAAGGCCGTTTTCACAACTCTGGCCAATATTCCCTATGATGAAACATATTTTTTACTGACTCTTGGGATAGTAGCAATGATTTAGCTGTCTGGTCTGTTATCTGGTCCACCCCTTGGAAGACTGTGGACTGATGGATTAAACAACCCTGGCACCTATGGTAGGAACATCTTAGACTACAGATGTACAAGGGAGAGGGCCATAAATATTCTCTTTGTCACCTAGATCCAACACCATCACTCAAGTCAAACAGCAAATGCAGCTGACAAGTTGTGGACGTGGCTGATCATAAATGACACTGCTGTGCCTGGGCATGATAGCAGCTCTCAACTCGGAGCCCTTGTAGACAGGTACAAACACATGGACTGGCACAACCTCACTTCATTCTGTTACCAAATCTGCTTCTCTGATGCTTGAGAGGGATATGCCATATATAGAAAAGGAAGTTACAACCATTCAGTGACACTGCCCGTGTGACTTAACCAAACTGAGGGAAGAATCTGTTATAAAATGGCTGACAGGACTAAGGACCTGTCCCTCATCAAAGACTCCCCCTTCTGGGTTCTTCTTCTCACTCTGCTTGTTGCACATATTAATGAGGAATGCGTAAGTAACAGGCTATAAATTTTTCCCTCTGTTGATGCTTTGGGCTCAGACCTCTGAAGAACAGATCTCCTCAGAGCTCTCCCGTGTAAAATACACCTCTTGCCTTCCAAGATCTCCGAGTGCTGCTTGGTTCTTCTGCCAGGTGATCCAGGCCATATTCCATAACAAAACTAATGTAGTCATGTTGATCCAAATCAAGTTTAATGACAAATCCTGATAGGAGTGACCTGTGCCTGCTTGGGTTATATGCTTGTATGTGGCTAGACATGGGCCAAGGAATATCTCTCCATTAGGGATAGAGGTTGTTTTTTGGCTCATCTATTACCTCCAGTAATTATTGGCAATGGCACCAAAGATCATCAGGTTAATGAAATGGATAATGGACAGGCCTTAGACTAGACTACATCCTGACTGTCTGAAGTAAAGTCCCCTGGTCCCTCCTGGGACAGTTACCTGGGTCCAGGACTCTGGAAGGCATAGTTGAGGTCAATACTGCAGGTTAATTTCATCTTGTTGTTTGGAGTCCTGATGACAGTAGCCTTAATTAAATGCTGCACGAGAAACCTAGTTCCAGCCACTGTTTGTTAATCAATCAAAGTGGCCAACAGAGTGACATACTTTTGTGACAATTTGCTAGAAGCCAAGATAGCTAGGGACAACAGGCAGATTGATGGGGAAAACAATCTTCCACAGGTCCTGAACATCCCTGCACATTTTTGCTGGGCATGCCAAGAATGCAAGTTCCTTTCTGACTGTTCTTTCCTAATACCATTTCTCAGGGCTGTGTTTATAGTGAACAACCATGAGGGTTGAAGTTATATAAAGTCAGATATTTGCTTCTAAATTATTGGGGTGGTGGTGGTGGTGAAGAACTGAGTAAGAGTGTAGATGAACTATATCACCTAAAAATTTGTAATTGTTGAGTCTGGCCCATAGGTACACGTGAGTACAAAGTACAGGCTTTCTTACCACTTACTATAAAAACAGGGGATCCCCAAGCCGTATTCCTCACTAGCAATACAAATCCATTGTATGTATTATATCCTTCTGGGCCCCTCCATGTTACCCACATGGGATCTGCAACAAGGCTCCTGCTGCTTGCTGTCTCTGAGTAATAAAGTCGTCTTCTGTGACCTAGGGGTCTTGGGTCTTTTTCCAGTATTTACAAAATAGTAACAGGATCTTAGTACCTTGTAAGTAGAGTAAATTCCAGACCCTGACAGTATCTATATTGTTTTGTGGGGAGTGGGGGATGCTATGATAGTTGATTGAAACCACCAGGCACAAGTTCAGTCATGTAATTTTGTTTTCACATTGAGAAAAAAAAAAAAATCAGTTTGTTAAACTTGTCTTACAACTGCCCCACATTTCGCCAAGCTAGAAATTTGGAACTTCCCTATTTAGTCACTTTTTAAGCTTTATTTTAAAATTTTAAAATTATGAATAATGTCAGCCATTCACAAAATTAGAGAGACTGGTGTAATGAGCTCCAATATAGACATCACTTGGCTTCAATGATTATAAACTCATGGCTGATCTTGTTCTATATCTACCTCCCATTGCCAATGACTTTGCAGCACATATATAAAATTATATAATTTCATTTGTAATATAATCTGTTTTAAAATCATTGACTGGAATTTGCTTTGTTTTAGGGTCTAGTATATTTGTTTTATTTGTACTTCTAAAGAGCTATTTTGTGAAAATAGAATATATTGCTCCATTAATAATAATTTTTTAGGGCTTATTTATTTATTTGAGATTAAGAAAGAGAGAGAAAGAGGGGGAATTCCGATGCAGGCCCTGCACTGACACAGCCCCCATGTGGAGCTTGAACTCACTGTGAGATCATGACCTGAGCCCAAATCAAGAGTTAGACACTTAATTGACTGAGCCACCCAGGTGCCTCTCCATTAATAATAATTTTTTTAAAAGCGTCACAAGCCTGTCTCACCCCCACCCCAGAAATATTTTGGGTGTAACTAAAGTTGTATATAGTGGCAAATGTATAATCTTCAGTTCTGTAGTAATTAAAACAAAAAAAGAAATTAGGGGAAAAAACTAAAGAAAATATAAATTAGTAATGTAAAATATTAATGAATTATGTAATATATGTAATTGACCACTTGTGAGAACTGCACCTTGGAAAAAAATAAATAAAATATACAGATCTCTGACAAATGAAAAAATGAGGTAAAATGTATAAATACTTGAGACATACAACTTCAAATATAGTGGTTAAAATAATTTAATATAATACTTAAAGTATTCAATGCAAATAATTTTGAAAATCATAGAGAGAAAGAAAAGTTCTGACCAATATACATAAAATCTATATCAGTTGTAGCTTCCAGAGATTTGGTTGACTTTGGTTCAAATGCCACTTTGGTTTCCTTGCGACAATCCCAGAACCTGCTCATGCTTTGAGATTTTGTGGCTGCTTTATAGTTTTCTAAGTGTCCACACTCTTGCATCCACGGAGGCTGTCATTTTTTCAGCAACATCTTACAGGGGGCATTCTGCCCCCATTCCATTTTTTCGCATGGAAACCACTGAGAGCACAGAAAGGATTGGTCAGTTTTTCTGTAATGTGTTAGATAGCAAATATTTTAGTCTATTCATATACTACTAGTATTCACACTACTCCTCATCTTTTCTTATTTTACAACCTTAAAAAAACTCCAAAACATTTAGCTCTCAAGATGTATGGGGGGAGGGGAACGGCGCTCGTGGCTGCCCTGGAGGGCGAGACGCTGGATGGACGAGAAGCGCCCCCTATTCAGGCCTGATAGTTACCTGCCCCGCGCCAGGGGCAGGGCTGCGGTGGGCGGGGCGGCTGGCGGCACGGGGCGGGGCTTACCTTCCCGCTTCCTCCTCCTGGTCCTTCTGGGCAGTGCAGCCTCTTGTTCCAGGTCCTACCTGCAGGTGACACCGGCCAAGTGCTTCGACAGCTACCAGCGGGTGTGGTGGATGGTCGCTCTGTTGCAGGTGAGCCCCGGCGCAGGCGCAGAGGGCGCGGCAAGCATCTGCGGCTGCCACTCTGCATCCCTGCAGCCGGGCTGCGGGGCCCCAAGCAGGGCAGCCCCCTGGCAAAAAAAAAAAAAAAAAAAAAGTACAAAACCAAGCTGCTGGTTGTGTGCGGCCTGTGGGCGGTAGTTTTCTCAACCGTGCCCTGAAGAATAATGGCTCCAGTGCAGGCCCTGTAGCCGTATTGCCTTTCGTTCTGGGTTTTAATCCTGACTCCAGTGTTTTCTAGTTCTGTCAACATGCGGGGAAATACTGATCTTCTCTGGGCCTCAGTTTCCTTTTTAGAAAACAGTGGTAATAACAATTGTTACTTCATCAAGTAGTATTGAAAATGGAGTGAGCTAACCTGTGTACCGTGCTTAGAAAAGTGGGACATTGTGAATGCTCACTACATGTTCGATGTTACTATCAAGCCTTTAATTTTATATAGACTATTTCTGTTCATTGGATTTAATCACATCTTGCATAGCCATCTGTTATCTTCTTATTCCTACTCTCCTTTCTCCCCTCGTTCTTTCAGAGGTAGCCAAGAAATTCTTCACTTTCTTTTTTCTTAATCGGGCACTATTGTTCTTTCCATAGTCCGTTTGCCGATAGTCTTACACTCTTCAGAGTGGATTTATTTATTTTATTCTGTAAGAAAAATGCTAATGAATGATTTTCTGTTCACAACATTATTTATAAACTGCCAAAAGTTGACTCTAGAAGAAATGAAAATGCAAGTCATAGGAAAAGTTATCAAAGAATTGCATCCAAAAATGCTCTTAACTCAGATGATTTTGCATGTTAAATGGATTTTTTATTATGGAAAATACAAACATATGAAAAAGTAAAAATAATTATATAATGAACCCCCATGTACCTATGTCCCAGACTCTACAGTTATAAAGTCCTGGATAGTATTGGATTTGTTTTTGTTTTTGTTTTTTTATTTTAGAGAGATAGCATGCAAATGGAGAGGGGCATGGGGTGGGAGAGAGAGAGGGAGAGGGGAGAGGGGAGAGGGAATCCCAAGCAGGCTCCATGCTGGGATCATGACCTGAGCCAAAACCAAGAGCTGGATGTTCAGCCAGGTGAGCAATCCAGGTGCCCCTTGGGCAATATTATTTTTAATATATCCTCACCCACTTTTTCTCCACACCTAATAATTTGGAAGCAAATACCTGACTTTATAATTTCATTCTTGAATTGTAAATTTGGTTTAAAAATGTAACCACAATATTATATGTTGACATAGTAAACAGTACAGTAATCCCAAAATATCATAAAATATGCCACCTGTATTTATATTTCCCCAATTGTCTTATAAAATTGTTAAACAATTTGTTTAAATTTCACCCATATCTTTTCTCTGTTAATTTACACATTCTCTTTTTTCTTGCAATTTATTTGTTGAAATAATTGCCCTGGGGTGTTCTGCCATCTGGGTTTTGCTAATTGCATCTCCATTGTGTCATTTAATACATTCTTCTATCTCTTGCTAATAGGTAAATGCATATTGAAGCTTGATTACCTTATGCTTGTGTGTTTTGCACAAGAATACTTCATAGCTGATGTTGTGTACTTTTTTTGGAAAGTACAGAAAATTTGGTAGTCTCTCTTTTTCCTTTTTTATTATGTTAATAGGCCTTGATGATCATTTCCTAGACCCATTAATCATTAGGGGTTGGAAATGAAGATGTTCTAATAGAATATCTTCAAGTTGGCTCCTGGGTCTTTTTGCCGTAGCCTAGCTGTGTTTGATAGCTTTCTTGCTTTCTGGTGTAACAGGAGATTCCTCTTTCACTTTGTGTTTCTGTTTCAGATCTAGAACCTAGTTCTTGTTTTTGGGAAATGGGATTTAGAGACATAATCTGCACCCCAGGGGTGCTTATGGCTGTGGGGCTGGTCTTTCTGGGAACAATGCCTTTTCAGTGGATGGAGTTTTTGTTTGTTTAGAAAATACATCATTTAAAACGTTTCAATTTTATTTATGAATACGATTTATGATTATGTAAATTATTTTTTGTTTCAAAGTTGTAATATTGTGATTTGAGATGAGGAATATGTATTTGGTCTTTGTCCAGTTTTTGGCACAGAGCACCTAAAACCCTTGGAATTCACAGGATGATAAGAGCAATAAAGGAATCTTTTGTATGTTAACAAGGCAGCTTTGGGAAAGCATCTAAGGATGGGGGGCTGGTTACCAGAGGAGCCAACCATGTGATTAGGGTTGGAACTTTCAGGCCTGGGAAGGCGAGAGGGACAGGAGGTCAAATCAGTTGCCACCAGTGATTTAATCAGTGGTGCTTATGTAATGTAGCCTAAGGCTACATTAAAACTAAGGACAGGGTTTGGGGAGCTTCAGACTTGGTGAACATCTGGAGATTTGAGGAGAGTGGTGCATCTGGAGAGCACGTGGAAAATTTGCACCCTTTCCCCATACCTTCCTGTATGCTTTGTTCCACCCGGCTCTTCTTGAGTTATATCCTTTTGTAATAAATTGGTGATCTAGTAAGTAAAATGTTTCTGTGAGTTCCGTGTGCTCTGGCAAACTAATTGAATCTAAGAAGGGGGTTGTTGGACCCTCCAGTACATATGGCCGGTCAGTCAGAAGCACAGGTGACAATGTGGACTTGTGACTGGCATCTAAAATGGGGGTGGAACGGGGGGGGGGGAGAGAGTAGGACTGAGCCCTTAACCTGTGAGATTTGATGCTATCTCCAGGTGGTTAGTGTCAGAATCCAGTTAAATGGTGGGACACCCAGCTGCTGTCTGAGAATTGCTTACAGGTGTGGGAAACCCCTCCCCAACTACCCCCCCCCAACATGCACACACACCCATATTGGAATTGGTACCAGAACCTTTCAAAGTGAAATCTATAAAACAAGGTGTATTTTAAGAAGTCTAGCTTCTATCTCAATCTATTCTTTCCTACCATCGCAGGAGTTTTTAGCCTTAATGCCTGGGATTCCTTGTCTTGCCACTTCAAAGAATGAAGGGGTGGACACAAAATAAAATGAGCAGCAGGCAAAAGCTTATTTGACTATAAGATCAGAAAGGAAGAATAGTTGGAAGGCTCTCTTTACAGAGAGAGGGAGTTCAAAAGTGAATGCCTGAGGACTATAGGCAAGGGACTTTGTTGTAGAGGATTTTGTTCCCAGCTGTCCTTCCCGCTGCTCCCTCATTCCTTCTCAGATCCTACCCTTAGCGCTAGTAACTCGAATTGCCTAGTCATTCCTTTTTGATTGGCTTGTTTCTGTTGTATGAGGGGTTGCCTAAGGCCATACCTTTCCTTGTGGGTCCGTATGTTTTACGTTCTACTTGTGTTTAGTCAGGTCTTTTGTCAAATTCCTGGGGGAAACCTCAGAGGGAGTAGGCGGGGTCTGTTACATTCCTAAGAGGAACTTTACACCTGAGGGAGTTTGCTCGAGAAGTTCCCCAGAAGAAACGTTTTAAAATGTGTCTTTTTCCCCACCCAGGGACCTCCCAGCCTTAGTCTTTCCCTTTTAGCCTATTGAATCCTGTCTTTCCCTGTCATACTACCTCCTATAAGGTATCTTATGTGTTTTTTTTGTTTATCCTTCAGTTTAATTTAACAAAAGCAAATAGGTGAATATGCTTTTATTTTTTCTTTTGTAGGCAAATAAAAGTGTCCTATGCATATTTTCTCCCCATGTGTTTTGTTTTAAGTTTATTTATTTATTTTGAGAGGGAGAGAGAGAAAGAGAGAGTGTGTGCGCGAGCATGTGCACTGGAGAGGGGCAGAGAGAGGGAGAGCGAGAGAATCCCAAGTGGGCTCAGTGCTGTCAGCTCAGAGCCTGACATGGGGCTCAATCTCATGAATCATAAAATCATGATCTGGGCTGAAATCAGGAGTCAGACACTTGACTGACGGAGCCACCCAGGTGCCCCTCTCCTCTCCTCCATGTTTTGTTTGTTTGTTTATTTTTGCCTAACCACTTCTCATGGAGATGACCCTGTAGCAGTATATAGAGTATATATAGTATGTAGAGCCTTTTCCCATTCTTTTTTTTTGACTTTATAATACTCTGTTATGTGCACGTACCATTGATAGACATTTTTATTTCCAATCTTTGCTGTTACAAATAGCACTTCAAAGAAAATCCTGGATCGTATGTCTTTTTGCTTGGAGAACCAGTCGTGATATTGATGGGTCAAAGGGTGAGTCCATGTCAGTTTGCTACATATTGCCAAATTCTTTATTAATTAGGGTCTGCAGTGGATTGAATGTGTCCCTCCAAATTCATATGTTGAAATCTTGATGACCCCCTGCCCTCCCCACCAAATGTGATGGTATTTGAGTTGGGGCCTTTGGGAGGTGACTGTAGAGGCTGGAGCTGGAGAGGTAGCTTGAGCTTTCTCTGCCACGTGAGGAGGTCCTCCTCAGAACCCGACTGACTTCATCTTGGACTTCCGGGCTCCAGAACTGTGAGAACTAAACGCTTGTTGTTTAAACCACTTAGTCTATGCTAACTTGGTATAGAGCCCAAACTGACTCAAAGACAAGGTCAGATGTGGAAACAAACCACATCAGTTGTTTCAACTGTTGGAATTTAATATGAAGAATTGTTTACTTTATAATTTTGGGTATAGGTATAGGGTTAATGAAATCGCTGCAAGGGTAAAAAGAGAACTGCAGGGAATCAAAAAGGCAGCAGGTGTTGGAAGCCTGTACTAGCCTTTCTGCTGAGGAAACTTAGAGGAGGGATCCCGTGGACTGGCAGCTCAGACCTCTCTGGGGATGGTGCTGTTTTCCTGGTGCTGTGGTTCTGAGTTGGAAACGGGGCCCAGTCTTGAAGAAGGCGGTAGCCAGCTGATTCTAATGTTTCTACGGGAGATTGGAGTTTGCAAGTATGGGGAAAACTGAAAACTGAATTTGGCTGCCGTTTAGAAGGTACTGCTGCTGTCAGGATGAGTCTCCTGGGAACAGAGCAGACTCCTGGTAACTGCAGGCAGAC